GCTTGAAAGACAAGATTCGCAATTTCCATATGACTCAAAAGCAAATGATGTTAAATAATCTAATTCATTTAACGTTGCTATTCTTGTTTCATTAATTTGACCAAGTTTGCAATGTCATAGATAGGTAGTAATTTTATGATTACTTAATCGAGATCCTTTTATTTTATTCATTTAATATCTAATATGTCGATTGATAATTAACCATTCATAAGAAAAGCATTTCCACAACAACACCATTTTATGAAAATAACAATTATTATTAGCAAAATGGAAATAGAAATCTTTTAATGTCTAACATATGAATGGAAATAATCTTCTTTGTAATAGAAGGAATAAAATAACAATTATTTAATTCTAATCTAAAACCACTGGGCAAATCTAAACTATAAGATCCTATCACGTTCAGCAGCAACTTTTGCTCCAGCCTTCACGCGTAGGTCAATTTTACCCAGTCCAACTGCTACACTGCTTCTCAGGCTTCTGCACATTTTTACAAATGTGTAAGCCATAAGTTGTATCTAATACTTTAACAATGAGAGTTAGTTATAGACATATTTATTTAATGATAAAAATACCTGAGCTTGAAGCACCCGGTGCTTTGGCTAGATTAGCCTTATACAACTCACAATCTCTCTTCCAATGCCCCTTCTCTTTGCAGTAGAGGCAAACATCCTTTGCAACCTTTGGCTTCTAATGACCTCCACCTTTAGGCTTAAGAGCTGTAGGAGTAGGTCCAACCTTACCTTTCTTCCTTTGCTTATTCTTGTTCTTAGAACGAGACTTAGCATTAGAGCTTACCATAAGAACAGTCTTTCCTTTAGAGGTTGAGGCTTCATAAGACTTGAGCATGTTATGAAGTTCAGGCATGGTCGCTTTCGTTTTGTTCAAATTATAATTCACAATGAAGTTAGTAAATGAACTCGGAAGCGAATATAGGATGATAGCAGCTGAGACACGATCCTCAAACTTAATTCCGGTGGTAGCAACTCTTTCGATTAAGCCAATCATTTTGAGGACGTGCTCAGACACGTTGCCACCCTCTTGAAGCCTACACTTGAAAATGTCTGTCAGAAGTTCATACTCTAGAGTCTGACTTTCTGAATCAAACAGACTCTTCAAGTGTTCAAGCATCTCGAAGGCGCTCATCCTATCGTGTTGCCTTTGCAACTCCATAGACATTGCAGCCAACATAACACATTGCACAGGTTTAGCATCAGTGACGCGTTTCTCTCGAGCAGTCAGGTCAAACGTGGCAAACTCAGGAGAATTGGCATCAGGAATCTTGGGTATCGGTGTGTCTAACACATACTCAATATTTTCTTGTCTAAGAACTAAACGTACATTTCTTTCCCAGTCCAGAAAGTTTGGTCCAGTAAGCTTGCATGTATCCAAGATACTTCTCAATGATAAATTCAACATTCCTAAAAGCCTAAAGAAGTTCAAATAGAACGGGAATTATTATTCATAAAATAATTCCTATGATCACATTTAGTAAACTTAATAATTTGGACTTTTAATTATTTAGCTCCCACTATTTTGCATGCTCTTTGACCCCAATAGAAAGAATATGGATTGTTTTCACAATCATAGTGGCCAAGATCCACATTCATACTATTACAGTCCCAGCTTGGGCTGATCACTGCAATAATATAATGGGTAGGTCCCTAGATCAATTGCGTCCAAGCAATTCTTGGTTGATCAATATTAAATTGATCGACATCCCTAAATTAGCACTGACGCTTGGGCGACTCGAGCTAATTTAAGTAAGTCAAAACCATCACACGATCATAAACAATTGCACCTATAAATTAGTTCTATATTTTGTCGAATGGAATAAACACTTGGGTGAAATATTCGTCAACGAAAAAATATTTCTACTAATTTAATTATGATGGGTGATGTCGTTATCCTAGATAAGACTTAAATTTTAATTTATGGGGAACATTTAGCGGGGTATTAAATTACTTAATTTAGTCAAGATGCTAAAACATATTATCAAATAATAATATGTAGATGAGGTCTAACTCGGATAGATAAATTAAGCATGCAATATAAATCTAATTTATAACTGATACAATAATCAAATAATTAACATAAAGCATGCTTAAAAAATATAATCATAATTAATCTATTTAAATGCATAGATAATTAATCTAATTAAAAACAATTAGATTATCACTAAAGCACGTACGTCTCAAAGACTCAACCCCTTCTTTTTCTTTTAAAATAAGATTTTATTTTAAGGAATTATAAACAAGGTCTTACTCCTAGAATAGGAGAACGATTGAAAAATATCCCACTCTGTCACTAACTCAGTAACTGCACAAGACCCGCCGAACTCATCGGATGAAATTCAATTGTTCTGCCTCTCTTCATCGTTGCCAACAGGACGAATACGCTGGCTATGTCGCTCGTCATTCCTCAACACGAAACCAACCCAGAAGACTTCGAGTCTCCTGCTGAAGCTTGTGACACCATGGATGGAGTTTCGAAGGGGAGATTCGTTTGTTTCCATCGCCCGTTGCAGCGCCATAGACGTCCGCCACAAGGAATTTCCAGATTTCGTTCGTTGCTACCTTTGTCGCCGGACTAGAATTCTTGTTTGCGAAAAATTGATCGCCGAAGAACAGAGAAAAATCTGGCGCAGATCGATTTACTTCCAATTTCTTAATTTTCTTTTAATGTTTTCAAAAGATTAAATTGATTTCAAAAATCAAACTAATTCCGACAATAAATATTGATTAAAAAAAAATTCTAAATCCCACATTTACACTATCTCAGAAAACATATTTAGGTCAAAATATGATATCCGAAAAACACACAATTCTGACCCACGAAAATATATGTATAAATTCGTATAATGTCATTAGAATCAGTTTGGTTCTGATACCACTGTTAAGAAATTGATGTAATGTACCTCGAAAGTACGGCAGCGGAAGTTTAAAATTTTCCCAAACAGATCTTTCCTGATTATGACAAAAACAACGAATATGATAATAATAACAGATTTGAGTTAGAACTTACAGATGTTCCAGCCTAGCTGTGATAATCTTTGACCTTAGGTATCCACGTGATTTCTCCTCTCCGAAAGAACGATTAGATCTCCCTTTAGAGAAAGGCTAGGAAATCTCTTCGCAGGGAAATAAACTGGTAATACTGAATCTAAAATTCTACTATGAATTATGAAGGAGGAGTATGTATTTATACTAGTTCTAAACTAGTTTCCCAATCACAATGAAAGTCTTTCTCATTAATGAGTTCTAGCCCTAATAGGACTAATATCCCTCATTAATTAAATAAAGATACAAATAAAATAATAATAACAACAATAATAATAATAATACAACCGTACATAGTTAAAGGGGATGGACTTGCCGCCACCCTTATTCTATGTACTATGTACATTATGTTTTATTTATTTTATTTACAATTTCTTGAATACATTTAATTCCAAATTGCAATCAAGAAATTACGAACTTTATTTAGTTATAAATACGTTTTAATTAAGTATAATAAATCCAATTTATCTTACTTAATTAATTCTATCAAATAGAACTCTCCTTCAACTTCATGAATTAAATATGTTTAATCTAATTAATATTTAATCCATTTTCACTATTACGAATTAAACATTATTTATTCCAATTAATATTTAATTTCTTCTAACAATTCTATCGGAAGGTATAATCACTTGTTGTGTGACTCATAGGGCCTTATATGTTAAGCACTAATCAAATTAAGGTCTTAGTAGAATCCCTAGACGATTCACCAGACAAACTTAATATATAAGGACATTTGTGAGGACTATTCAAACTCCCTGTAATATAGAGCTCATAGTGATACGGTCCTTTCATTCAGCGAACATTCAACTAAGTCTAGAACATGATATTGTGTCTATTCCAATAACTCAGTCTTTGTCTCTCAATCTTTCTAGATGATCCATTACGATCATATTCGATATCCAAAAATATATCTTTGCATTGGCCAATGACTTTATGATCCATCTATATATGAGAAGTAGAATGTTCTCTCTTAATTTATTATGAGGAATGAATCCTTTCTTGGCTCAACTACTACTCCATGTGCTTCGTGATGCACCCAACACATGTCGTATCTACCCCGATTGGAGTGCAAGCGTTGGTCATGGTCAAAGTACATCACTCCGCACATGTAGTACGTATTGACCTCAAGTCGGAGGACTATTACACTACTCTATACGCCGATAATCCCATAGACACATGAATAGAACTTATCAAATGGTTTCTCGGTGGGTATGCCAATATTCTCTAAAATATCTATGTGACCATCATGAATTACAGGAACTCATAGTTGTGAGATCAACTATACTTTCTAAAAGTATGATGCAGTCCACATACCAATCTTATCGCATATCATCAATATCCCATTTTTGATGATCATTTATTGGGGCTATTTTAGGACCTTATGTGATATCATATAAGCTCCCACTTACTTATTGACAACATAAGTCCAAGGGAACACAATTATGAATAAGATATTGTCAATCAAAATACTTAATCATCAATGTGTAATGCCGTATATATCAAATATATAAAAATGAATGTGATCAAGTACATATATCTCTAAAAAGTGATTGTCGCTAGGACATATATACTAACACATAGGCGGTCAATTTGATTGATTTTTGAGAGTTTGTAGACTTGATTGATTCATTAAAAAGTATATGGACTTAATTGACTTTTTGATAAAAGTAGATGGACTTATTTGACAATTTTTCCAATATATAAACATCTGTAAACTTTGCTATTAGAATTGCTTGGGCGTCGTTGTTGAGAGCTGAATCTGAGAGTAGTCAATTCTATAAACCATATCAACATGGGCAGTAAAGATGAAAGTAATGCGCGCGCGCGCACACACACACATACATATATATATATATATATATATATATATATATATATATATATATATATATATATATATATATATATATATATATATATTTGTGTGTGTGTGTGTGTGTGTGTGTGTGTGTACACGAAAATTCTCAGGTTCTAACGTTCGGACCTGAGGCACCGTCTGAACACCGCCGTTAGGGGCGGTTCCCGGTAGACCTTTTTTGTGAAATTTTTATGGTATGTTCTTCATCAAGTCTAATTTATCCACAAAAACTTTCAACTTAGAATTCGATCGGGAAAGCTGTAAAAAAAATTGGAAGTGGACTGCGTTTTTCTCTGTATAATTTTGCACAGTTAAGATCAAAATTATTTTGCACAGAACATATCATAAAAATATTATAAAAAATCCTACCGGGAACCTCCCCAAACGGCGGTGTTCGGAATGCGTTCGGACCAAAACCTGCTGGACAAGAGAATGACTCTATATATATATGCAAAAATTTTGTGTTTAAGAAGATTACCATGAGGGTGGTACGGTGCATATGATGAAGCTGCAAGGAAATATAAAATCACTTGCAAACAACATGAAGATGCGGAACATGAGTCAGCCCTAGGGGAACCCTAGGCGACGAGTTCCTGGACGATTTAATCTTTTGGCTTCTTCTCTCATAGTGGCAAGAGTTTTGATAATTGCGATGTTCTACGGGCAGTAATGAATCAAAGGTTTCCTATGTTGCCTCTCTTTTTTATTTCTATCTTCTAGGGTTGTGGTTTTAGTCCGACATCTTCTTTGACTGAGAGTTATGTCCGCTTCATTTGAGCGTATGTTTTGTTCTTCTCCTAGCAATGTCTAGAGGTTGTGTCTTCCTGATGACCTCGGGACCCGCCTATAATATAACAGATATAGGTCGTTGCGTGCGAATCCCGAGTCAATCAAAAAGAAGGAAAATGAAGTGTAAATGTGAGTGCGAGAGAAGTAAAATGTATAGTGGTAAACGGGATGGGGTTTGTCGAACCACAAGGATGGCGTGTAAGTGAGTGCAACGATCGAATAGACAAATATGTCACTAAAGTGGAGCAAATGAGGCTAAAACACAAACATGATCAAGAGGAGATGCTAAATGAGCTAAACTACGAAATAAAGATGCAAAAGGGTGTCGGGGGCATGTTTGGAACTCACATTGCAATTGAGGGTTGGATAAAATAGTATTAGAACTTTATTACGAGAAAGAGCATGCACAACGGTTCCTCCGCCACTCTCGTGGTCGTATGATCGATCAATAGACGATCTTGGCCACTCTCATGGTCCGGAACCGCCTATCGACGCCAATGAAAATGATCCAAAGCAAAGAAGCCCCCTAGGCCTGCCACTCTCATGGTTGTGCCTAGGTGTGTGTGAAAGGGACAAATGAATATCCGATTCTCATCTAAATATTCCCAAATAATTAAATACAAGGTTTCTCAAAATTGCATTAACTAATGTCATTAAGGCATTTTCACAAACACATTTCAAGCAATAAAATTCAATACTAGTCACCCAACATTTCAATCACATAAATATGCTCCAAACAGCCCCTAACCCATCTAACTACTCATGCATTGGAAATAAAACAAGAACATTAACATAAAAGTGCATAAATAAAACTAAAGACTAAAACTTTGAATGTAAATAAAGTAATAAGTGTAGAAGAATACCCTTTAAAGTTGAGAAGCAATCCATTGAAATGCAAGTAGAAAGCTTGAATCTTGGAGTAGAGACCTCTACAAATCTACACTAATGCTAGAGAGATGAAATGTAGAAACCTTAATCTAAAATGTAAAATCTATTCTAATGTGACTTCTCTAATGGCTTCCCCACAAATCTGATCTGCAACTGATATTTAAAGTGACAAATTCGGGCTAGGCAAATGACTACTAAGGGTAGAAGGTCTGAAAATGAATACAGAGCAAACTGGGGGTAGTTTCGTCATTCTGTGCTTCAAATCAGAATAGGGTTGCAGGCCCATTTCTTCTCCGTAGTTCGTACGCAGCAGCAGGGCCGATCTTCAACTTCACCATAGCTGCGGCTGCAGCTCTTTTCCTCTCTGATGCCAAAGCCGTTGAGCGGATACAATGGACGTGTCGAGCTTCTGCCACGGGTCTTCTCCTCCGACGAAACTTAAGCGATTATCGAGGTCGGCGGCAGCGAACCTTCTCCATCTTGAGGGACGCCTGCAACGGTGATTAGGTAGAGACCAGGGCGGTTGGCCGAAGCGTAGAAGTGCAGTCTCGTGAGGATGACGGCTGGTAGTGATTGCGTGGGCTATGGCGATGGTGATGTCCTGGATCCCGGCGTGTGGCCGTGACTTCGCTGCTGCCATCCTGTTCTCCTCCTGCGGGTTGCTCTGCTGCCCGTTGGATTCTTTGCTGCTGCTTTACTGGATGGACTACGGGAGATGGCAGGCTGCCATAGAAAGGTTGACCTGTTCACTGGTCAACTGTATCTTGACCCAAAATTGACCAAATGTGTTCTCGGTCTTCCATGATGGCTCGAGATGCTTCTAAATGTCCAAAATATGTTAAAACTTACAAAACTGATTAGTAGCACCGGTTGTTAAATTGGACCGAAAATCCAATCAATTAAAGCAAAATTATCTCGAAAGTGAACCAAATGTGAGATTAAAAGGAGAGTAAAAAGTATACAAATTGAGCATTATCACTTCCTCATCGTTGTATCGGATCAAACGGTTCATTATTCATGGTTAGCAAGACATGTTCAACCTAGTTCTTCTAAAGCTTCAATTATTTGCTCTCCTCCTGAACCACTGCCTCACTCGAAGAAAAACATCATGCTCAACTGGATCTCCATTTCTGTGGTTGGTCAAACTGACGACCCATAAAATTTCTGCTTAATTCACTTTCCTTTGTTGGTTGCTGGTCAAACCAATTCTCCTTTTCCGATTATTGGTGAAACCGGATCTTTTAGTTGTAATTTTTTATTTTCCCTTTGGAGTAGCAAGAAGAGCAGCAAGGTTGTTAGAGTAGAATGCATTATTGCGGGGTTAGCGATATGAAAGGATTCATTGGATCTCTCTGCTCTATGTCTCATCCCATTCACTAGTACAAATATGAGATACCACGCCACATGTATTATGTCGGTTATAAAAAACCGTATGTTGGGATATATTATCTCGGTCTGTTACTGTTCAGAAGCCCAACACACCATCCCCACGTGAGGCCCGATCCACGAGGCTCATCTCGGCCCGTCCGACCCCATTTTTTGCCCTTGTGGCCTGTTTTGGCCCATTAAGGCCCTTATGGCCCATTAGGCTATAGTTTACCCCCTTTCCCCTTTTCCTATAAATAGGAGGTCTTCCCTCCATGTTCCTCTCATTTCCCCCTCCTCTTCTTCTTCTCCCACTTCTCTCTAGTTTAAATAGCTTGCAACCTCCATTAATGGAAGCTCCATACTTGTACTATGTAAATGGCGAGCATAGTATTAATGAGAATGAGAGTGGCTTGGACATTAGCCCAAAAAGTCCCGTGGTTTTCCCTCTTTCGGGTTTCCACGTTAAAATAGCCTGTTCATAAATATTTATATTTACTATATTATGTTGGATTAAACTCAACACCATCGTTAAAAAGTCTTTTACGTCGGTTGTAACTAGAAACCGACGAGAAAAGGTAAAAACCCACACCTTTTTAAAATATACAATGACGGTTAGTTCAGAACAGACGTTAGGTGTATTTTTTTTAAAAATATTATTATGTTTTCGCATTTTTAAGTATCTAATGACGGTTTCTGTTCGGAACAGACGTAAGTGTATTTGTTTTAAATATTCTTATTTTTCACTAAGGTTAGCGCAGGTCTGGAAAAAACTTCTCTCGTCGTTTTACAAAGGGACCGGAGAAGGGTCATAAATAACACTAAGGTTTTTAATGAAACTCAGATTAAACAATAAAGTTTTAAGTAGACCCAAATAAACACAAATTTAAATTTCAGCCACCCTCAATTATGTCCGTTTGTTTGGTTCCTAGGTCTGTGTTTCCCTTTTACGAAACTCGTTCTGAAGTGGTAGGCTGTGTGCGTTTTAATTCTCAGCGGAAAACCTAGACAACCATTCGCCTTCCTCTCTCCCGGCCTGGAGCTCAAATTCTTCCGTCGAAGACGCTAGCCGGTTCTTGTTGCTTAATTATTCTCCGATATAAGGTTTCATAGTCTACGACTTCATTATTTTTCCTCTTAGCTTGTGCAGGGGCTTCAAATTTTTCCTCTCTCCCTGGAGCCACGGTTTTTCCATCGAACAAATCTCAACCCTAGAGAGGAACATGATGCGACTTTGGATTTAGACTTCTAACACATGTTTTTTTTAATTTGCAGCGGCAACCTTGATTCCTAACCCATCTTCGTCTCTCAGCTCTTCCAGACCTGTGATTCCTGTCGTTGAAGAAGTCTCGCCAGCAGGGTACATCTATTGCTGCAGTCTGCCACCTCAGTCCTTGTTCCTCCATCCTCACGAGTCACAAATTAAAAAGAGTAGCGGTTCATCTCATCAACCAGAAGCTTAAAAGAGTAGCGCTCCATCTTCATCAACAAGAAGCCTTCATCTTTATTTCAAGTTCTTCATCTAGGTATTTCCTTAAATTTATTTGTAATTCTATATGTTTATTTACAGATTAATTTTCTAATATTAATATCTATCAGTTCTCATAATTTGCTTCTCCTACTTCATGTGGCCTTTAGCTATTGTCTTTTACGACCACATCCCCCCATTGAAACGCCAAATGAAAAGTGAAGGTGGAATCCTTGCTTCCCCCTTTTTAGGTGTGTGCTGATTCAATTAAATGGTTGAAAGTGTGTGTGGATTCAATTAATTGAGCTTATGTGAAAAAATAAATTTTATCATGATTTCCCCTTGTTCATGATTGAAACTATGTGTAGATTCCCCTTGTTTTCCCCATTACATATACTTCTGCCAAATGCCGCCCGGCTTACGAGCCTCTGCGTTTTAAATCCTCTTCCTTTAAAACACAAACACACGCACACCATTACAAACATCGGCCGACGCTCGAACGACCAACAGCCTAGCATCCAAATCCTCTCTTTTCTTCTCCACTTTCAAGCCAAATCCAGGTAATATCTACACTTCTTCACTCTTTAATATTTCATAGCTTTTTCATCATTTAACTGTTAGTTTTGATGTGTTATTCAAAATTTTGAAATTTAGAGTTTTTGAAAAATTGAAAGCTTTTAAGCCGGAATTGTTGATTGATATCTTATTCTTGTTGCCTATTATGCTTGTTTGGACCTTTATATACCCTTTCCAAGTAGTCAGTTTCAAAAATTTTGAATTTTTTGCTTTTTGGTTGAAATTGGAGGTTAGGATTCGAAATCCTTGTTCAAATTTGGGGATTTTCAATTAAAATCATGTGATTACTTGTTGATGATTGAGACTGTGATTATATTATCTCTTGTTGTGATAAATTGGGATTATAGTCGATTTTTAGGGGAATCCATGTCAATTTTTTTCGGGAAGTTGACTATAATTATTTTGAGTTTGTAGGTACAAATGGCTTCGAGGGGCAAATCCCCAAGCAATGAGACTGGCCCAAGCAACCCTAAGCGGGCTAGGAACAACAAATTCCTCACTCCCTCCACCACCATCTTGCCGCCAACCCGATTTGTTAGCACGAGGAGCTATGAGAGATACTTGGAGTTTTGGGACAATGACTTTGTCATTGAAAAGATGGTCTCGCAAGCCATTGATCAAGAATTTGGGTTGACTGAGGATTTTGCTAGAATTCGATGGGAACCCATACTCCACCTTCACGGGCCCAACTATCCGGAACTCGTCAAAGAGTTACTCCCTCCGTCCCGCTAACTATGGGACAAGAGGGGGTGACACACAAATCAATAAAAAATGCTTTTTGTGGTTGATATTGAATTGATAAAGTAAGAATAAAGTAAGAACGATGGGAACCACACAAACTTTACCAAATTTGGTATGGGACAATCTTAGTGGGACGGACCGATAAGGTAAAATTGGACAATCATAGCGGGATGGAGGTAGTATATGCCAACGTCAAAGTAGATAGGGGTGCGAAGAAGAGCATTGAGAGTCGGGTTAAAGAGGTGCACATTGAAATAACACATGAGCTCCCCCTTCACTCATTTCAAAATCACTAGACTTGACCGCGCCTTCGATCTCTCTCAAGCCGGAGTAATTGCGAGTGATCTGTTCTATCATCCAACCACAATGGCCCAACTTCGAGCAACCACATATTCGCAACAAGATTAAACGGTCACAACAAGATTATGAGCGTCGACCTCTACTTCACATACAAGATGCACACCGGGTTGGGGCAAACGGAAGGGATCCCTCTCTCGGGAATCATAATCAAGCAACTTTGGAACGTCGTCTTGAGTAATAATCAAGATCAGACCTTTATTTTCCCTATCTTAATCTCTAACATTTTTTGACATTTTAATGTTAGTTTTAGAAGAGAGGAAAAACAAGAGACATATTTCGTGTTTGATGATGGTATCATGAGGCATCTCCATTACTTCCAACCGACACCTGGAGCACCTTGGAGATGTGTGGACAACTTTCATCGGGTAGTGGTGGAAGTGAATGAAGAGGACATGATAGGAGGCGAAGAAGGTCAAGGTGAGGAGCACCAAGAAGAAGAAGCTCATGCACCCCCGCACGGAGGACCATACGATATGGAGTATTTGACAGCGCAAATCGGTCAAATCCCCACGGAGCTTGCGGTGCATAAACGGGACTTGCGAGATCAACGATGTGCTATTCAAGGAATGGGAGGTAATCTTTGGAGCATGAACCATTATTGTCAAGAATTGGGGTGGCACTTCAAGTTTCAACCTACCGCCACCACCACCTTATGATCCAAACTTTTATTTCCCTCCTTGAGGAGATGGAAATGAGAGCGATGAGTAGGTTTGAGCCAAAAGAAAAGTGTATTAAATGTTTAAACTTGAAATATCTTTTCTAGTATTTTTAAACTTCTTTTTGCTATTAGTGTGCCTCTTATGTGTTATGTGTTATTGCTATTTCTTGTTGCCTTGCCTTAATTGTTCTTTGTAATCCACATTGAGACAATGTGGAATAAGTATGGGGGGTTGATCTTTAAACTTTTAAATTTGCAGGAATTTTCCTTTTGAAAATGGTTATTTTTGGTCCATATTTTTTATAAATTTTAGCAAAAGCCCTTGTCCTCCAAAACCTTTTTCAAAAGAATAAATCTTGCAAAACGAGTCATATTTGTGAGGGTTTTATTCTTTTAATCACAAGAAAAGGGCCAGCCAAACGCATCTTGAGGAACAAACCAAAGGAACAAAACTGCTTAATCAAAGCAAAAGCCGCCCAGAATCCACGAAAAGTGCCTGGCTTTTGCCTGCCACATCAACATCAACGTCCAAGACTGAAGAAAAGTGTTCGGAACCAAAAACTACGAAAGCCACCCGACTTTCATGAAAGGCACCCGCTTTTCGGCGATGTAGAATTAATTCAGAAATTCAAGCCAAAAGCCGCCCGGCTTCCGTCTCCTGGAGCGCTGGTCCACTTAGTTTAAAAGGTGAAGCCGTCCGGCTTTCATGAATAGCGCCCGACTTTCCTTTTGTGAGATTATAAAAGCAATGGTCATCACAATCATTCGGGGAAAACACCAAATCCCATTAAGGAGCTTGCTTCCTTGTCCAAAAATGGCAGTGGAAGACTCCATATTTAAGTGGTTTGAAGGCCCCTCAACACACCATTCCATATTCTACACACTACACTTCTACTTTAGCATCTCAAGAGCAACCTCTTGGTCTTGGGAGCAAGTCATTGTCCACCATAGCTTTGAAGTTGTGGTATCATTTTTTTTATGTATTTCATTGTATTTTATCATTTCAATACTTGTAATTGCATTATGAATTGTTCTAGCTAATTTTCCATAGCCAAGGTTGGGGATGAAACTTTACGACGCACTCTAGGTGTTTGATGTATGTTCTCAACCAAATTATTATGATCTTTCATTTATATTTTAATGTGTATGACTACAATGTACAACATATGAGTATATCATTGGGTTTATTTGAACAATTAACGTTGATGTACAATTTGTCGTAGTGTGCATTCAAAATTATAATCAATACAACAAATATACGTAGTATATTGAAGTAAGGTTCGTATCCACAGGGAAAGGAATATTTTTCTTTTATATTGTAACTAGTAACAAAAGGGGGGATTTCAGCTGTGTTTGATTTTAATTAATTAACACTAAGATGAACGACGTATGTGGTTTACTTTAATAGAGATGAAGACCTGGTTTTGCTTTTATCCACTTAATGAAATGTTCGTCGATCCCGGTTATATCTTTAACTATCTTCCTCTCGAATACTCAATCGAGGAGTATATCCAGTTCATCGAGGGTAGTTATTAATAACGAGACGCGATCATTAATAAAACTTACTACCGAGTTAATATAGAACACACGCCGTATATTAACCCGATAGTAGCAATAAAATCAAGATGAAAACGATTGAGATTGATAACCTCAACACAAGCGGTTTATTTGTTTAATCGACATAATTAATTCTCCTTGATTTATTAACCATGAAACGCATGCATTAAGAACCCAAGTTTACTACCGTGAAACGATCGAACAGTTAACAAGTGTATTCGTCGATCGATTCTAGTAATAATTAATACATGAAACAAAACTAGTTGATCCTTTAAGTAATGTTCAAAATATTAATATGAAATATGAATAGGAATTAATTAATACTCGAGGAAGAATATTATAGAAGATGAATCCTACTATAGTTAATATCAAGATGTTAACTAATTGTCATCTTAGTAACACTCCTCAATATTAACATAGAGAAAGAAATAACTATTACTATAACTAATAACAAGATGTTAACTAATTGTCATCTTAGTAACACTCCCCAACATTGATATAGAAATAGTATTTAAAGGAAGAATTAATATTCAAGGAAGAAAATTAAAGAGAATAACTCACAACTTACAAATTCATTAAGCTTCAAAGTAGAAAAACCAAGATGGAAGAGTTTAGCTCCTCATTTGGAGACTAATCATGATAAAAATATAAAGAAAGAACTAATCTAGACTGAGCTTAGAAATATATGTGAATTGGTTCTAATTGTGAAGGGAAGGAGGAGTAATTATATGGTTTTCGGAATGCAACTCGGGTACCTGATCGGGTATATACAAGGTACCCGACCGGATATGTGTAAAACTTTAGATTCGAGGCATACTTGATCGAATTCGGGGTTAAAATTGAAGGCATACCCGATCGGGTGTGTCAGTGTACCCGATCGGGTAAAGACACTCGATCGTGGTCAAAATCTTCCCTGCATGTTCCTTTGTCTTCGGATCCGATCCGATTTGAAGTTTCAACAAGATACCCAATCGGGTATAGGTCATACCCGACCGGGTATAGACCAAAAATCAGGATCTTCTATTTTGTCTTGTGATTTTGCACCTTCCTTCCACTTTTGGGGTTCACCAATGGTCCTTTGAGTGACCATAGACCTATTTGAGCTCAGAATAAACCTAATCTAAACAATTTACAAGTATTTAACAAACTAAACTATTACACCAAAAGTGTGTAATTTCCAAGGTAAAAATCAATCAAAGCTAATTAAAATACAAACATAAACATGGAAATTACAAGCGTATCAACTCCCCCACACATAGTTCTTTACTCGACCTCGAGTAAAGTAAAACGTTCTAAACAGTCTTAAGAGTTTTCCATGATTTCAAGAAAGAAAGGACACAAAAACCACCAAGGAATCACAAATATTTTTTACAAAGAACATTTTTCTTGAGTTTTCAGTCTTCTTTGCTCAATCTTCTTTCCTCTTTTTCTTCTTCTCTTCAAGAGATCAAATGAGGTCCTGCACAAAAACAAATATTTCTCTCATATCTCTCATTTTGCCTAGGAGCCTTTTCAGGTTTTCATCTTAGCATCTTTTTTTATTTTCCATTCTCCCCAACTCACTCATTTTTTTATAAGCCCTTTTTGCTTAGATTTCCCTTTTTTGGGGGGTTTCAACCTAACTAGCATTTTTTTTTAATTTTTTTTTCTTTTGCTTTTTTTAAAGAAATTAATTACCCATGATTTATTAACCATGAAGCACATGCATTAATAACCAAGTTTACTACCGTGAAACGATCGAACGGTTAACAAGCGTATTCGTTGATCGATTCTAGTAATATTTAATACCTGAAACAAAACTAGTTGATCCTTTAAATAATGTTCAAAATATTAATATGAAATATGAATAGGATTAATTAATACTCAAGGAAGAATATTAAAGAAGATGAATCCTACTATAGTTAATATCAAGATGTTAACTAATTGTCATCTTAGTAACACTCCCCAATATTAACACAGAGAAAGAAATAACTATTATTATAACTATGTCAAGATGTTAACTAATTGTCATCTTAGTTACACTCCCCAACATTGATATAGAAATAGTATTTAAAGGAAGAATTAATATTCAAGGAAGAAAATTAAAGAGAATAACTCAAATCTTACAAATTCATTAAGCTTCAAAGTAGCAAAACCAAGATGGAATAGTTTAACTCCTCATTTGGAGACTAATCATGATAAAAATATAAAGAAAGAACTAATCTAGACTGAGCTTAGAAGTATATGTGAATTGGTTCTAATTGTGAAGGGAAGGAGGGGTATTTATAGGGTTTTGGGAATGCAGCTCGGGTACCCGATCGGGTATATACAAGGTACCCGACCGGGTATGTATAAAACTTTAGATTCGAGGCATACTCGATCGAATTCGGGGTTAAAATTGAAGGCATACCCGATCGGGTGTGTCGGTGTACCCGATCGGGTATAGACACTCGATCATGGTCAAAATCTTCCTTGCATGTTCCTTTGTCTTCGGATCCGATCCGATTTGAAGTTTCAACAAGATACCCGATCGGGTATGGGTCATACCCGACCGGGTATAGACCAAAAATCAGGATCTTCTATTTTGTCTTTTGATTTTGTATCTTCCTTCCACTTTTGGGGTTCATCAATGGTCTTTTGAGTGATCATAGACCTGTTTGAGCTCAGAATAAACCTAATCTAAACAATTTACAAGTATTTAACAAACTAAACTATTACACCAAAAGTGTGTAATTTCCAAGGTAAAAAGCAATCAAAGCTAATTAAAAATACAAACATAAACATGGAAATTACAAACGTATCAAACGTTGAGTTATAAACCGTGCACTTAAAGGTTAGACGTATTCAAATTGTGGATAGAAATATACCTCAATTGAATATGGTGGTTTTCTATAATGTCCTAATCTTCAAATGGAGTTAATTTTAGATGAATGTGAACCGTGACGGGATTCACACGTAGAGTTAATCACAATCTCGGGCGATGTCGTAACAGGAATTAGAACACTTTAGTGACATTCCATTCATAAGAATTGGTGAAAGAGCATATATTCATCACTAGAAGTAATCCTGAACCCTTGATTGCTTTTATTATTTCTTGAAAAACTAAAAACATCACTAGTCCCTCTACTCTTTTATTAACAACGTTTCCTAGTGCTCGAACCGATATTTTTAGAGGTTTTTTATTACTAAATTGGCACTTGTACACTTGCATAAATATCACAATATTTGATAAATAGATGGAAGTCAATGCACGAAAACAACCACTGGGTTTAGCTCGAGAGGCCCTCACATTCTCCCAATTATGGGTGGACAAGGTCCTAGTCCTAGAGCCAATCCAAACCGGGACATGCCAGTACCTGGGACCGGTCCGAAACCGTGATATCCGGTTGTGGGTTGGAACCAACGTGAGAGACCAACCATAAGGTACCGGTACCGGCTGCTCTGGTCACGATTCGGTACAGGTGGCTATTTTGTTTCTCTATTGACTAAGTCAAAATAGCTGATGAGGGACATTAGAGCCTCC